ACACACACACACACACACACACACACACACACACACACACAGGATGCTCATTTGCAGGACTCATAGAGAGTACTAAGAGTACAACACCACTGGTTAAAGTACGTACAACTTTTAAGTATTAGTACCAATATATACTCTACAAGTAAAGGTCCTGTGTTTAAAATATTACTAAAGTAAAAGAACAAAAGTATTCACAGAAAAATGTTCTTGAAGTATCTTAAGTAAAAGTACTCGTTCTGCAGTAAAATGTGTTCTATGTTATAATTGACCATTATAAGTAAAATTGACAAGGGGCCCTTATTTCAAAATGGTACTTTAGTAAATGTACTCGGTTACTCTCCCCCACTGGCGCGCACATATGCAGATGTACTCTTAATGTCTGTCTCACATGCGTACACTCATAAAATGACTCAGCCACACACGGACAGTGAGTCAGACACAATCTCTGCACAAACAAACACACAAGTGCATCAGTGTCGTAAGTGTCCATCTGTGTGACAGAGCGCTTGTGTTTACCACAGGAAGGGGAAGACACACAATGTCCCCGGCGAAGGTGGAAAACACCGTCTCATGGACATGGTGGGTATCAGACAACGCACTCAATTCACCAGGGAACAATATCAGTCACGTCCTCTGTCTTAATTAGGATTTAAATGGCTTTCGTGTGTGTGTGTGTGTGTGTGTGTGTGTGTGTGTGTGTGTGTGTGTGTGTGTGTGTGTGTGTGTGTGTGTGTCACCAGGGTATACTCAGACAGTCGAAGCTGCGGTCCATCAGTAAATCTGACACAGAGATGAACAAGATGAACTGCAATGGTAAAAGTGAGTGAATCTTTCACATACAAATCCTGACCCGTGTTCTCCGTGCACTCGAACCTCCTCACATCACGTTCACTGCAGCTAAACATCCTCTTCAGAAAAAAACATCTTGGCATCGCTGAATGAGACGTTTGGGGAATTTGTTTTCCTCCATCACATGAAGCACATTTTATCTTAATGCTTATTTGGAAGCATGTTAAATAGGAAACACTGGAGATACAAGGTTTCCACCAAATTGTGTGAAATGGCAAAACATGAAAAATCAATTTGTTTTCTGTTTTCTCTGCAGCTCCAAATAGCGTTATAATTAAAAGCAATAAATGGAACCATTAACCACTGCTACATTTAACCGTGGCTTGTTCTGATTTAGCAAAACAACATTACCAACCCCTGATAAGTGCCACTGCGCACATTTCCTCCTCAATAACATGGTACCATCCGATCCTAAATTCAAACAGAATCCTTGGGAGTAAAGTTCAAGGTCATTTTAGAGGAGAAATTGACCCTAAAACAAAATTCACGTTACATTTTTACCTCGGCCTTCTTCCATTGGACTGTTCGGTCATGAATTCTGAACACATATCGCTCAAAGAGAGAAATCACAGAGCCAAGACAAATCCTGGAGCTCCGTCAATGACAGTCAACAGGGAACTGCGTTTGTGGGCACAGTGACAGAAGCCTGAGAGGGTTTGAAGGAATAGAAGCATATGTCCTGCTTCAGACTTGTCCTGCTTCCACTGCAGAGGAACCAGGCCAAGTTGGATGAAGCGTATCCTCAGCTGTCTGCGTCAGTTCCCTGTTACTGTCGGCTCCAGGTTTTCTCTGACCAGTGAGAGATTTCCAGACTGTCCAGTCCGAGAGGAGTGAACGTGAATTCTGCTTTACGGAGGTCATGGTTTGGACTTTAACGGCAGCCTGTGTGTGGCTTGCAGAGGCGTCTAAAAAGAAACGTCCAGCCAGCATGGACTTCCTGCTGCTGCTGCCCGGCCGCTGGTCTAACTCTGACCTTCGTTCTCAAGGCAGGCAGCTTCCCCAGATCCCTTCTGGGACTGGAGAGGACGGAGAGCACACTTACTCAGAGGTGGGCCGTCGCTCCTCGACCACACGTACTGACGATGCCCTCTACGCCATGGTAGGCAGGGCCGGACAGACGGACACTCCGGCCCCTCCGGCCGTTCCGGCCAACACCCCTGCACCCCCAGACCCGGACGGGGACGTGGAGGGAGGGCTGCCTGAACCCGAGGCCCAGGTCATGTCCCCGCCTCACCCTCCAGAGACGGCCGAGTACGCCTGCGTCAGGAAGCTGAGGAAGGCAGACAAGGCGCCCCAAAAGAGGGACAGTGGGACAGATATGGGCGAGCCGCCGGTGCCACCTCCACGACATGCCCCACCGTCACATCCCGCCCCTCCTCCGCCACACCCTCATAGCACAAAGTTGCCCCGTAGAAACGTGGAGGCCTTCAGCGTCCCATCGTTCCCAAAGGTTGGTCAAGTTCAATTTTTTGCATACAGAGGAATTAATGTGTTTTAACTGATGGTGAAAAGGAAACATGTTCAATGTCTATTTACACCTGGCATTAAAAATGTCTCATATTCATTATGTTGTATCTTAATATGGTTTTAATCTGATTACATTAACACCAGAGACAAACAAGGAGAGAGGAAGAAGACGGTAGAACATCCATGAAGCTGTTGTTGTTACAGCTTGTTTGAATGATTTCTTGAATTATTCTTTGATAAAACCACATCCTCACACCGAGAACAAACAAACAATAAATGGAATGACAGTAGCAGGATAGAGTTAGCCTGGCTTATGTGTAGCTAAGGAAATCTACCATGGATCCACCAGGATGTCCCCAAAACATGGAATCACTGGGACCTGATTCCCACATAAATAAAACCCCTGTTGTGGAAACAAGGTCTAGTTTTCACACGTAATGTTGGTGACCTTGACAGCGCTCATAAAAAAAAAAAACGCTTACAGCTTCACATTTTCTTTGCAATAAGCTTTGACAGCAACACCTCAGTGGTCACTTATATTAGTTGGAGGAATTGAGGAATGATGGCTGCAGGGGGAGGGGAAGTTAAACGCTAAGTTGCAAGTGGTTCTCCTGAGGTCTGAGATGAAATCATAGAAAGCGAACAGAGACTGAGTTTAGAGGACGCTGAAAAGCTGAACCCGAAAGGAGAGGGTCTGATCTACGGAGGCCTTTTGTGATCGGCGTCACCAGCTCGTCGCTCAACAACTGAGCTGAGGTAGGACGAGAACGTTTCGATGTCCCTGGGTTATTTTAACATGTGAACTGTGATCTGTTAGCACTCTGTCTTAAAATGTCGCCTGTGAAGGACGCAGCACCTGAACTGAGACACTGACAGTATGATTGACCCGTCAGGTGTGGATGGTTCTGTTCTGATCGGTTGCTCAGGAGATCAGTACAAAGTCTCGACAGTGTAATATGAGTACACAGAGTTTGTAGTTGTGGTACACTGAGCAGGATTCTGAGTATTTCCTGTTGACGATCTGCAAAGGTGGGTCCGTGCCAATGTTTTCCTTGCACTCGGCTACATCATGCACGGTGTCGTGATGTTTGTTGTGCGTCTGCAGAAATTCCTTGGAAGCCCAGGCAGCGAGCCTGGTTTATTTGTCGGAGAGCCGTTGGTGATAGCGGGGTGTTTCTCCTCTCAGCACTGTCACCTCCTCCGCATGTTCGCAGCAGCAGGGGTGGAGGCAGACTGTCTGGGTTTGCTGTGGATATAAGGCTCCGTGCTCCCCTCCAGGTGACAGTGGGAGACTATTTGCTGCCCGGTGTGAGGTCAGCGAGGTTGCGCCGGCTGCTGTGACCTGACTTCAGCAACGCGCGCAGTTCACAGGCTTACATGTGTAGCACCGTCTGGTCGCCACTGACTTTCTTGTGGATGACGCAACATGTTGAAATTGAGTCATCTAGAATACAAGCACATGCTGGAAGCTCCACCTTCCAGGGAAACTCTATTGAATACTGTGTGAAGTCGGTGCAGTACACGCCTGACACCAGCGCGGTGTTGCAGCGCCTCTGCATGTGAAGCACTTCATTTGTTTCCTGTGAGCCCCGTTAGGTCTGTTTTGAAAATGCAGCTTTTATTTGCTCATTTGTCAGTCTGCTGTCATGCACGAACACGTGACCGGCCCCGGCCCAGACGTAATTTGTTGTTCTGTTGACAGGAAGTGATGTTTATGGGAAACGGAGAGCAGTACATCTGGAAGCCTCCCGAGGACGAGGAGATGCTCATGCTGCAAAATAAAGCCCTGGGCCCTTTGGGTGCTCAGACGCTGGAGAATATACAACCGTCTGCTGCTGCGGTGAGCGAGGACGCTTCAGTCTGTGCATCAACCTATCTGGATTTATATCGTTATTTTCTTGAAGCTCCAGGTTCCTGATGTCACCCGTTAAATTTACAATGAAATGGTTTTTAATGTCGGACAAAACACCAGTGTTTTTTAAGCCACAGCTTTACGTGAGAATACTGTAAATAAAGATGGACGACATGACTGTTCCCCAAAAGTGAAGCCAAAGCGTCTTGATCACCCCAAAGTGGCTGGCTGCAGTATAAACCACACCTCCTCCATGTTAATCAATGGGACATGGGTCAAACTAAAAAGTAAATGTGAAATTAATATTTTTTTCTCAAAGATGATATTTGACGTTTTAGGCACACTGCTGTTTGTTCAAGCATAACTTATTTCGCTGTGCGTTGGGGAGACTTCGCTAACGAGGGTCCAACCCCCGAGTGTTTGTGGAGACACGTCGTCCATCTTTATTTACAGAGAGATGTTATTCCTCTTACACATTCTTTTATGCTACTGGAACCAAACTGAAGTTTTACCATTTATCTCTGTTAATTCTGGATTCTAAAATGTTAAAGTCGCACAAACTATGGTGTTCATTGCATTTATGTATTGAGAGGAACAAACTGGGGCGATATTAAATATATTTCAGTTTTTATATGTTGCCTGTATAAGCTCAAATGTAAATTTCTGGATTTCTGGTTCTTCATTTCCAGTCCATAATCTCAGTGATGTTGTCTGACTGCAGGTGGCTGAGATGTACTCGAAGGTGTGCAAAACAGGAAAGAAGAAGAGAGCCGTGCCGGGGTCTCCTCCAGCCAATCCTGGCTTCCGGACCTTGGGTCGTGGTGATCGGGATGGGGGGTTTAGTGTAGTGGTCAAACCCCAGACCTGGGCTCCTCTGGAGGGCAAAGCCATCGGAGGGCCCCTCGACGACCACTGCTACGAGTCCATCGGGACCGAGGAGTTCGACCCCTCCTATGAGAACATGGAAGGGGGAGGTGGCTGGAAGCGAGAGCGACCCCCCAACACGTGTGCCACCCTGCGGCCGAGGAGGAAGAAAGCCCAGCAGCCCTTGCAGCAGCAGCAGCCCCCTCCACCGCCGCCGACGCAGCAGACCCCCAAGTTACAGCACCTGCCTGCCAAAGCCCTGCTGCTGCCGGGGGAGAACCTGTACGAGAGCATCGGCGACCTGAAGCAGGGCTCCGCCACCTCCAGCACCACCACCATTTTCACTTTCAACGACGGCATGGAGATGTATGTAACGGGGCTCTGAGGCGGCAGCTGCACTGTGACCCCACCCCCCCCTATCCTTCCAACACAAGGAGCTGAGCGAACACCACGCGGAGTGACGGCTGAGCCCCTGTCATGCTCCCCCACACATACTGTTTACATTCAAGTCATAACATCAGGCCTTTCACAGGCTCCAGAGGCCTCGGGCAGCAATGTCGACCTGTTATGACCTGGGCTGAATACAAAGTCCAATCTATAAACCTTATAAGGAATCCAAAGGTAGTGAATAATAAATGAGCACAAGACCATCGCAGAGCAATCTGCTGGTAACAGTAGCACTTGTAATTCACTGAGACATATGTGCAAAGCACAATAAAGTAAAAAGCCTAAATTCTTCCTCAATTCTAGCGGGTAAAATAATCACTTACCTGGTCCGAGCAGGACTTTTATTTTGGGAAAAGGCACAGCGCTGTGTGAAATCGTTTGGTAGCACTTCATGCACAGGGATTCCCTGTAGTTGGTCAAGATGTGATTCAGGATGGAATTTAAATGATATAATGGAATGAATTACTAATCAAAAATACTTGAAAGCTCAGGGACCAAGAGAAACAATTATAAGAGTATTATAACAAAAAAAAAAAAATTGCACACATTTTGCATTTCTCCTAAAGGCTTCGACTAATTTAGACCATTTTCATATTTTAAAAGAAACAATAACCAGATACTTCCCTCATGTTTTGTTTCCTCCAACACGGACTGAACACTTTCTCCACTGCCGTCTGTAAATGAAGTGTTTTACTTTGTCGATCCTGTTTCTGCACTTTGCCTGCTACGAGTTGCATGCTGAAAAAAGTGGAAAAAAAACTAACAAAAAATCAAGCACTGTCATGTGGTACCTCTATATGAATGTTTTTATTTTCTATTGTCGTTGGTTGTTCATTTTCTTTAGTGTGTTGCTTTATTTATCTGTAGAGCACAAAGCCAGTTAGATGAAGGATGTCTTTGGCTCGGCGGGACTCTGTGCAGCAGGGAGGAGCGTTAACTTTCTCTCCTCCTGCGAACGCCCCACACACACACACACACACACACACACACACACACACACAC